AGCTTCTCATGAAACAGTAGTACACATATTGTTCTATGACATTGGTTAACAACCCCACAACATGTCAACCCTCTAACTTCTCAACTAAAGGTAAGTTTTTAAAAAAAATAACTGTGTGACCTAATTGAGAGTAATACTGAAGAAAAGCTGCTGTGTCAAAGGTTAGAAATGGTCTCAGTGAGAGCCCCTCAGCAGGAAGGGATGGATTAGTAAGGTTTCACTTTCATCTAAAAATGCTTCTAATATATCATATCTTGTTCACCATCTTATTGACTTCCTTCCCTTCAGTTTAAACTTCCTCGAGGATTTAGAACTTATTGAAAAGGAAAGTTTGGTCCTGGTCCCTACTCATTATCCATATTAGCTCTTCCAGGTCTGCAGCTCATTAACATTCGATGACTTCCTTGCTGATTTCCATTGATTTAGGATTACGTCCAACTGCACATATTTTTGATTACCTTATTTAGTTCTGTAAAAATGTTCTTCAAACTTATCTGAACCAAAAAATTCCTTTATTTAAATGTAAACAGCAATATAAAGCTGTAAAGGCAAGAAAAAGAAGTTTGAAAATAGTATGAAAAATTATAAGAATTGAGGAGTGGTAAAAAGAAACACAGACCTCTTAACAATAACAGTTGTATTATTGTAATAAGTTGTTATAATAATAACAACAGCTAACATATCAAGTGCTTACCATGCAAGAACTTTGTATATATTTTCTCATTTAACCCTTGGCAATAATTCTATTTGGTTGGTACTATGCTTTTTTCTTTTTATTTACTTTTTGTTCAGGTTTAACTAATGGTTGAAATGCACAAATTTAAAAAAATTTTACTTATTTTGTTGTTGTTGAGAGTATACACAGCAAAACATACACCAGTTCAACATTTTCTACATGTACAAATAGATCAGTGACATTGATTACATTCTTTGAGTTGTGCAACTATTTTCATTCACCTTTTTTGGGTTGTTCCTCCCTCCTTAACATAAACTTACTGCCCTCTAAGTTTCCTATCTAATTTTCAAGTTAAAATGCACTCATTTTTAATGTACAGCTCAATAAATGTTTACATACATCTGTATAACCAATACCCAGATGAAGGTAGAGAACGTTTCCACCACCCCAAAGGCTCTCTTGTGCCCCTTGCCTGTCAGTACTCTTCAATATCCAAAGATACCACTGTCTGACCTCTGTCACCATAGTTTCACTTGCTCGTCTACATATAAGTGGAATCACACATCATGTACCCTACTGTTTCTGACTTTTTTTTATCTCAACATGATGTCTGTGAGATTTATCCTTGGGTAGATACTATTAGCAACTCCTCTTTGAAAGATGTAGAATAAGGGCCAGAAAGGTCAAGTAACTTGCTCAAAGTTACACAACTGGACAAATTCAGGATTTGAATCCAAGTGATCTGGCTCCAAAACCAGCATTCCTAACCACTTAGCTAAGAATTAGTGCTAAACTTCATGCCACAGAGCAAGTTTCATGTCTTTATTTTATCCAGATCCCTAATTTGCTTCTGCATTGTCATCACTGAAGAAATAGTCTTGGGGAAGTTATCTGCTTAACTGTAAATGGTACTTTATTTAACTTCCCTCTTGATAGATTGGCTATTTTTAGCTCTGCAAAAGATTTGACTGTGCTGAAGGTTGAGGGGGTGACCAAATGGAAAATCCGAGACTTGGGAAAGTCATGTGGGATTATCCAGGGGAAGCTCAGGTCATGAGGCACATGCAGCAATGCCTTTCTAATGTTAGCAGAGAAGGGCTTGGAAGTTTTGCAAACATACGTGGATTTTCTGGATCTTGTGCTCTGACATTCAGAGCTTGTGTTTCTGTTTTTTTTTTTTTTTTTTTTTTTTTTAATGCTGTGTCAAACATGTGCCTGCCTCAGAGTACTCGTCACTATCCCTGTGGAGACAGGGAACATGTTGGCAAAGGAGAAAGTGGAGCATAAGCCAAACTGCCAACATATGGTTCAACTTAGAAGAGAATTGAATATCATACTGTGTACAAGATTGATATGATCAAAAAAAAATGTTTGGAAATAATTTCAAAATTATGGAAAAGTTGCAATAATAGTACAAAGAACTCCTATAACCTTTATCCAGATTCACCAGTTGTTACCATTTTGTAATATCGGCTTTAAATATCAAACCATGGTATTTTCGGTCGCCTCGTATGCATGCTAAAGCTAGACAATGAATAAGGAAGACGGAAGAAGAATTGATGCCTTTGAATTATGGTGTTAGTGAAGAATATTGAATATACCATGGACTGCCAGAAGAGCAAATCTATCTTGGAAGAATGCAGCCAGAATGCTCCTTAGAAGGGAGGATGGTGAGACTATATAGCCTACTTTCGACACGTTATCAGGAGGGACCAGTCCCTGAAGAATGGATGTCATGCTTGGTAAAGTAGAGGGTCAGCAAAAAAGAGGAAAGCCCTCAGCGAGATAGATTGACAAAATGGCTGCAAAAATGGCCTCAAACATAGCAACGATTGTGAAGATGGCATGGGATCAGGCAGTGTTTTGTTTTGTTGTACATGGGGTCGATATGAGTTGGAACTGACTCGATGGCACCTAACAACCACCACGGCAACAAAGAAACAGCAAGCCTGGAAATGTTGGAGGTCAAGAGGACAGGGGACCCATAGCTCAGATTTATGAACAGAGGAATATAAAGTAGGAATAGAAGTGATTGTCTAAGAAAATAGGTAATGTTTAAGATCTAGAGGGCATGATGTAGATGAAGAAAAGCTTCAGCAGCAGTAAGTAAACGGAAGGTGGAAAGGTAGGGTTGTCAGAGAAGGAATTTCAGAGTTCAAAGGTGCTAGATCATTTTTGATAGCTATACCCCAAATGCTGCCTTGGAGTCAGAAGACCTTGGGCTCTGGACCTGACCTTTTCTTTCTTTTTTTAACTAGCCATTTGATCTTGGTAGTTAGATCTGTCTGATTCTGAGTGTTTTGTGGAAAGGGCATGGTATTTTATAATTATACCACCCCAGTTTGAGACCCAGTTTTGTTGTTTAGAGGCTGTGCTATTTTGGTCAAGTCACCTAATCATTGTCCCTTGATTCTTCATTCATTAAAAGGAATAGTAAATATTCCTCTCCTAGGGTTGTTGTGAAAGAAGCCCTGGTAGCGCAGTGGTTAAGTGCTCAGCTGCTAACCAAAAGGTGAGCAGTTTGAACCCACCAGCCACTCCGCAGGAGAAAGATGTGGCAGTCAGCTTCCATAAAGATCATAGCCTTGGAAAACCTATGGGTCAGTTCTACCCTGTCCTACAGGGCGCTATAAGTTGGAATCGATTAGATGGCAACAAGTTTAGGGTTGTTGTGAGGATTAAATGATATAACTATTTACAATATTTGCAGTTGTTATATGAATGTTAGTTTATTATTATGAACAAGGTTTGGGGACAGTGTTGGAAGGGTAAATGAATAATTTCTTTTATAAGGATCAGCACAAAGCTAGTTCCTATGAGGCAGAGGTCAGAGATGTCGCAAATGTCCAACTTTTCCAAGCTGCTGTATACTCCATCATCTCTGACATCAGCTACTCCCTCTCCCCTCAGTACTCTCCCTCCCGTCTTTGGGTTCCCTGATTCGCTGCAATGTCTCACAGAACTCACGAACCAGTGTAAACGGAATGGCTCACGTGGTTGTGGAGGCTGGAAAGTCCCGAATTTGTAGGTCAAGCGTAGGCTTCTCTCTGGCCTTCAGTCTCTGCCCAAAGGCACGCAGCTTTCTTGCTCCAGGGACTGGGAAGCCTGCTGTGCCGTCTCTTGCTGGTCTCGGTTGCGAGTCTCTCCTTCCTTGGTGGTGGTGGGCTTTTCTCTTTCCCACCTCTGGGGTGGTTCATTTCAAGCCCAGTGGGATGGTAAAACTGACCAGTTCCCTTAGTGGGCCACGATTACCCTATTACACAGTCCCACCCAATTACCTGGGTGGGAGTCTCAAGACCATGGCTAGAAAGACCACACAAAAAGCAGTCCATTACACTGCAAAGGGTCAACAGCACATATCTGAAAGTTGCTGAGCATGACCACAGGACATGTGGCTCAAACAACCATTGTGCCTGGTGCTCAAAGTTTCGAGGAGGGTAGGATGCAACCCTAGGGTTCTGCTGTCTGTGATGAGAAGACGGAATTCTGTACACTGTATGGGATGAATGTAATGGAAGATACTATAACAATGATCTGAAATGGTTGGGAACCTTTAGGGATGATCTGAAATGATTGGGAACCTTTAGGGATGATCTGAAATGATTGGGAACCTTTAGGTTTATTAATGTTGTAAATTCTATCTTCCAAAAAAACATTTAATAGTAAGTTCTTTCTGCCCTTTGTAGCATTAAGTTGGAAAACCAGGTAAGAGAAAGTCCATAAATGTTAATAGAGAATGATATAAGTGACCCAGTAAATATAAGTATAGAATTAATGCATCTTTTTTCCTCTCTTAACTCTTTTTGCCAGAGTAGCACGTTTAGCAATATTATTAATCTCTAGCAAGTTATGGGAGCCCTGGTGGCACAGTGGTTAAGAGCTATGGCTGCTAACCAAAAGGTCAGCAGTTTGAATCCACCAGTCGCTCCTTGGAAACCCTATGGGGCAGTTTCACTCTGTCCTGTAGGGTCACTATGAGTTGGAATTGACTTGAGGGCAATGGGTTTTGTTTTTTTTTTTTTTTAAACCAAGTTATGGTAGGATTATCAAAGTACATTAGATTTGAGAAACTTGTCTCAGTTGCTACTTGATGCTTTATTCTAGCCACTTAGAAGGCTAAGGCTCAGGAAACCTATAGAATGTGTACTCAAATTTTTCGACTTGGCCTCTATGTCTAGTTCATTTTGTGATGTTCTTCTCTAGGTTTCTTATATCATCCTGCTTCTCATCCCAGATCCTGATCTGCTGCCTCTGATAATTAATACATGCTTTGACTTTTCTCTTGCCCATCTGGATTCTCGCCCTGTTGCCTGTTCTGACTTCTGGTAACTGCCTTTCCTTCCTCTGCCTGGACACCCTTCTGGTGACCTCTGTGACTACTCACAGGCCTGGGTGACTCTAGGTTCTTGTTACTCTGCCCTTTAATTCACTGATGAGGTTCATGCATGTCTTTAAAGTCTTTCATTTTATTAATTCTATATAATTCTTATTTTAAATAAAATTATTACAGTAAGTCTTAGAAATGAAAAGTATTATGTAGCTGGACACTGAAATTTGTATAGTATGGTTAATTAAAGAATAAATCGAAATACAAATTAAGAAAAAAGTCAAAGTTAAATATAGGTTTTTTGAATTCTCTTAATGGCTTAGGAATGGTTATGTAAGAGAGTATTTAATAGAGAATTCTTATCTTTTTTTATTTAGACACTAGTCTTTTATTTGACCTTGTTTATTTTTCTATGACAGTGTAGAAACTCCAGTTGTACTGAGTGGTATGTTGTGGTTACCATTGTTTGTTTCTGTTAGCTATATAAGGCTCATACAGATTTATAATAATGCCATATTTCAAAAGCCATGGTTTCCTTGCTTTATAATTAACTATTTGTGGTGACAAATAATATGCTCTGTTTGAAAGGGCGTATTTGTGTCATTTTCATAAAGCACCTTAACAGTTACCATGGCAATGAACATAGAAATATTCTTAAAATTTTGGAGTAAAAAGAAATGAACTATGAGTTTTGGTGTATAATAACTTAAAAATTAAAAAATGACTAGCATTTCCAGTTAAATCTCTTAGAACTTTTTTTTCCTGATAATAATATTATGGAGATGCTTTGGGTACATGAGATCAGTTATCACCTCACTGATTCAGAAGATGTTACACATCACACTGAGCAAGGATGGAGAATACATTTACTTTTATTATACATTAGCATCAGCCCCTAATATTTCTATCTGTTCATCCCTGTGAAGTATTCTGTAATTCCTGAGGCAGACTGTTGCCTTCATGCTGCTCAACTCCTTGCCACTGTAGAAGAGCTTGTACATCCTTCTGTAGGGCTGTTATTCATGCACGGTTTTCTGGAGGTATTATCCCAAAGATCCCTTCAGAAACTTTTGGTGTCATCTTGGTGAGTTAGGCCTTATTTTGAGACTCTGCAGTATGGATGTTGTGTACAGAAGTAAAAAAAATTTAAGAAAGATCAACTTGAAGTTTCTCCTTGAGTTCTAAGTTGTCCTTCCCTACATAAATAAAAAACGATAGCATAAAATCACCCTTACTGGCTCCTGTCTCTTGTTAGGTATCAGTCTTAGCTAAGGTTGTACCATTCTTTTGAGTCTTTGCATTTACAGCTAAGGTTTGGAAAATGTAGCTGGTAGGTAAAACTCAACCTCTGTTTTTATGTAATGGGCCTCATGTTGAAGTGATTCAAAGATCATTTATGGAAGGACTTTTCCATGGCAGGCACTGTGCTACGCAGAGGACATAAAATGGTGAATGAGACCAAGGATATCACAGTTCAGTAATAGAAACTGGGAGGTAAATGAACAATTGCAGTGTAGCGTGTTAAGCTTAGGAGTCCCTGGGTGGTGCAAACAGTTAAGCACTTGGCTACTAGCTGAAAGGTTGGTGGTTTGAACTTACCCAGAGGCACCTCAGAAGACAGGCCTGGTGATATGCTTCTGAAAGATCACATCCTTGAAAACCCTATGGAGCAATTCTACTGTATACACACGTGGTTGCTATGAGTCGGAATTGACTGGATGGCAGCTAACAACAAATGTTGAACTTTAGCAAGTTACTTGATCTTCACAAGCCTCAATTTTTCTCATCCGTGACATGAGAGTCTCATAAAGGTTGTTAGAATTAAATGTGATAGCAAATGTAAAGTGCTTAGCTTAGAGCTCAGAGCAAGTAGAAAAAGTACTGTAGCACACGAGAGTTGCACCTTGCCTTGTTTTGGAGGGGAGCTTGGGAAATGTCAGGAAGAGCTTTCCAGAGGAGATAGGACCAAGATGGAGGTTGAGTTCTGAATGATAAGAGGAAGAGATGGAAGTGAGATGGTTGCCTTTTGTTTCTTAATCTTCCATCTTTTACTGAGCCTTGAACTGCATTGCTAACATGTCAATACATTGTATATAATGCCCCCTGAGGATGAAAAGTAATCTTATACAGTTTTATTTTATATTAGATGTTATAGTTAATTTTCTTTCTTTCAGAATATCAAAGATGGTAGCCTTATTGACTCAATTAAAACAATCTGTGTGGGAGATCATATTGAATCCATAAATGGACAAAATATCGTTGGATGGCGTCATTATGATGTTGCTAAGAAGTTAAAGGAATTAAAAAGAGAGGAACTATTTACCTTGAAGTTAATAGAACCTAAGAAGGCATTTGGTGAGTATGTATGTGTGTGTCTCTCTCTCTCTGTGTGGAATGTTCCTGTCTCTGGCTTATCTTTCTGAGGGAAGTGTGTGTTGTGGTGCTACATGCCATTAGTATAGCTTCTTATCTAACATGTCTAACATGGAAAATGATGGACAGCACTTCTTATAAGGAAAAGAACTATTAAAGGAAGATAAAGAGAAAAAGACTTGCCTTATAGAAGACATTTTCAAAAAAAGACATTTGGAGTAAAGAAGTCCATTGTCTAGTGCTTTGAATTTGGTGTGCCTGTTCCACCCTCTAAAAACCCTGGTGGCATAGTAGTTAAGTGCTGTGGCTGCTGACCAAAAGGTCGACAGTTCAAATCCACCAGGCGCTCCTTGGAAACTCTATGGGGCGGTTCTACTCTGTCCTATAGGGTCGCTATGAGTTGAAATCGACTCAGCGGCAACAGGTTTGGTTTGGTTTTGATTCTACCCTCTAAGAACAACACATTGTATTTCACTCATTTTCCTGAGCAGTACGATTGTTGATTGAGCTCTTGACACCATAATAACTGTCTTTCATGGACCTCAACAACAAAAATTTTAGTTACACATGGAACTGGTATTTAAAATAGTTATCTATTTTAAAGACTTCCTTCACTGAATGTCCATTGGCATTTTAAATTCGGCAGCATGGGATGGTATGAAATTACTTCCGCTCTGGTGTGACATCTATACTTGCTTAGGTTTAACTATGGCAGCTGTATCCCAACTGTTGTTCAAACCACTAGGGCCATCCCCTCTACAGGAAAATGTGCCAGCCTCGCTCTCTCTACCCAGCACTATCTTAATGAGCACAAATGATGGCGTGGCCTAGTGCTCATCAGTGTTAAAATATCTTCAGCGGGATCATTCCAGGCCTGCTATTACTCATCCACAACCCCACCTACCCTATGTTCTCTCCTCTGCTCACAGAAATAAATATTCCTTATACAGTAAAACCTGCAAAAGCTGGAACCTGGGTAAGGCAGAAACCTGTCAGAGAAGGAAAACTCAAATATTTTCCACAAAAAAGAGAGATAGGAAAGTGGTAAGACTGCACTCTGTCAGAGGCGGAAAACTTGTAAGACCTGGAAGAACCAAGGCAGTCTCATTCAATTTCGTCTCTCACAGGTTTCACAGTAGTTTGTTTCTAATAGGCTTTCTCATGGCAGTTAATAAAAATGAAGGAAGAATGGAGTGGGTCTGGGGAAATCACAGTTTCCTTTCCCTTAGCAGGCAAGGAACAGACCCTCATCATATAGAATTGGAAATTTTTCTCTGCTTCCAAGTGATTCAGTGCAATTTAGTAGAAATACAGTGTAGGTTATATTACCTCCGGGAGACAGAGTTCCACAGATGTGAGAAAAGAATGCCTTATGTTAGTGTTGCTCCTGGAGGGACCACTCTATGACCCAGCACTATAGGCCCAAGGTTGTGAGAGATCTCACAGAAGAAGGCGGACAGAGCTCAGGATTCTGTCCAGCAGCTCCCTCTGAAATGGCTGAGTTTGGTAACCCAAGTCCCTGGGTATTGCAGAGTATAAACTGATAGTATAGGCTGTTTGAAATAAATACTCTTATTTTGTTTTGACTCTGTATTTCTAAGTCAAAACCATTCTGTTAGTGCAACTCAAGGAATATAATTTCTTTGCACATTTATCTCCACCACATAATTTATTTCCCAGAGTTGGTACTTTCCTGATTGTTCCCTGTGTCTCTGTAGAAAGTTGCTGGTACCCCTTGACTTGAATGTCAGGTTGATAATAGTCTTCGATGTTACAGAGGCCATTGTATTTAGCTGCTACTGTACCATGATTGGATCCCTGGCTGGTGCAGATGGTTAATGTACTCAGCTGCTAACTGAAAGGTTGGAGGTTCGAGTCCACCAGAGGTACCTCAGAAGAAGGCTTGGCGATCTACTTCCAAAAAAATCAGCCAGTGAAAACCTTATGGAGTACAGTTCTACTCTGACATACATGGAGTCACTATGAGTAGGGAATGATTCGATGGCAACTAGTTAGTATTAGCTAATTCTATGATTAGACTTTTTTTCTTTCAATATTGGAGGCACATATGTAGATGGTTGATGTAGTTCCTTGCCTTATGTATCTGGCTACTATTGAACCTGCTTTTTGTTGCCTTACATGAATTCCATGGGCATGTCGAGAAGGCACTGGGTTGGATTTTCTTAACTGGATATATTATTTTAGCATCCTAAATTCTGTTGGCGATGTGGGTTAGGAGGCTAGGAGACTGCTTTTGGACCAGTGATAAGCTTTATTTGCCAAGGTTTCTAGGGCAATTCAACCCAGGCTATTGGTCTATATACGTTTTCCACTCTGGGTTGATCCTTGACTCTAGGCCCTAGCCTGGGGATTTTTCTCTTAGAAGTAGGCCTTGGTGCTCTGCCCATCTTCCAGCCCTAATTTTGCTGTTAATCTTTTGCCCCGGGGATAAAGACAAAGCTAATTTGTCCCTCATACCCTAGCTTCATCCCTAGCTCTTTTTCAGGGAGGGAGTATGTATCAGAAGGTACTTGGGGAATCAGGCTTCCCCTAATTCTCTTGGTCCTAATCTTCTCTTTTGCCATGTTTCCTTCCTTCCTGTGTTTTCTAGCATTATCTTTGGCTTGGGGCCAAGAATTCGAATTTTGTAGTTAATGATTATTTGCCTGTCTGTCATCTTAGATTGTTATCAGGAGAAAGGGCCAGACTAAGTGAGGCAGAATTTTCCCCTCTCTGTATTCAGACCTTGACGGAAGCTAAATCATTTCCAGAATCTTACCAAAAGCTGCCAGGAATGGTCAGCACACACCAGTATTTTGACATCTTCCCTAAAGATTTAGCCTGGGGAGCATGTGAACTGTATTCCAAAATACAAGAGGGAGTAGTGTAAAATAACCGTTTTGCAACTGTATAACAAGGATCATGAGCACAAATTCTCAGCAGTGGGTAGGGGAACCCTTACTGCTTGCTCCCATTTCCTTATTTTAGGTCCATCATTAGCCACACCCAACTTCTAGGGGCCATTACGTGTGTCAGGATTCTTGATTGAGAGCAACAGAATGAACATTGGCTAATGTCTTAGTCATCTAGTGCTGTTCCCACAGAAATACCAGGAGTGGATGGTTTTAACAAAGAGAAATTTATTTCCTTACAGTAAAGTAGGCTAAAAGTCCAAATTCAGGGCATCAGCTCCAGGGGAAGGCTTTCTCTTTTTGTCGGCCTTCTCACCAGTGTTCCCCCAGACTAGGGAGCTTCTCCACGCAGGGACCTCAGGTCCAAAGGACACGCTCCGCTCCTGGCACTGCTATTCCTGGTGGTATGAGGTCCCCAACTCTCTTCTTGCTTCCCTTTTATCTGTTGAGAGATAAAAGGTAGTGCAGGCCACACCCCAGGGAAACTCCCTTTACATTGGATCAGGGATGTGACCTGGGTAAAGATGGTATTACAATCCCACCCTAATCCTCTTTAACA